CGCTGGATCTATTACGGCCACGGGCAGGACACAAAACCACGCCTTTTTACCTGTACTTATGAATCTAGTTATAACGAGCACAACGGTATCCTCAGTGCATGTGCATTTGTCGGAAGTCTAATAGCAAAGAGGACAACATATTGTAAGCGTTCTTGAACAATTTCTACGAAACTATGCTGCATGGGGAATCAGAATATACGCATGTCATTATTATATAAAAGCGTGATTAACTTACCACCCTCCACTGCCCTTGATCTAAATGGTAAAATAAATGTATGAGAAGCGCTTGAGCAAACAAAATGGAAATTAATATCAGCCATGGAACCATAGACTAAAATATCGTGGAATTTAGCGCAGACCAACCTGAAATACGAAAAATTCATATTCTCCTATTCTATTATTATTTGCTATTAGTATATACAAATTCTGATTTTTTTGCACCTCTGCTGTTCATGAATACAACATGCATTGAAAAATCACAGACCAAGTGAGCACTCGATGTAACCATTCCAATTAACTTTAAACTATTCGATTGTTTTTAGCTTTTAAGGTCCGAATATTTGACCTGTTTAATGCGTTTCGGCTTGCAATGTAAGATTAATATATTATTAACGGATAAGACAAATTTTTGACTTCAATTAGGAATTATCTCATAGGTGTCACTTCGTTGCTTTCAAATATTTGGAAGATTAATACTTGCGTATACCAAAATATTTCGAGAGAAATATGTAATTGCTAATTCTACCTTACTCGTAGACCTGCGAAGCACTGATTAGCTTTCCAAAATAAACTCTCCTCAGATTACCCAGTTAGCTAAAATGTCGCAATGAGCAATAAATTCGCACTGTTTCAGTGTAGTAGAAGGGTTACTTACTGTATGTTTAATGACACTGAAACAACCTATCCAAAATCAACGATTCCATTGAACACTTTCAATGAATGTATTTAACATTTTAGACATCTACTTGATTAATTGGACTTGATATATTCTGCCAACAAATCAACTTCGATTAACATAGCGGTTTGCGCAGCGAACGATTTTGTAAAATAATTAGCGATAATACTCACAATATGTGCTCTTCCAATACGCCTAAAATGTAGAAGACAGAGACGGTTCTTATTTAAGTGGACAAATATTCAAAGGAACAACAAATTTAAAGTGAAGACATTCAGGAAATATATGTCATCAGAAGGCTTATGATGAGCAGAAAAACGAAAGCGTGGGAACTTCATACATAAATATGCAAGAGTATTTAGCTCATAGGCTACCAGTGTTGCCCGGAGTTTCGAATGTATGGTATGTGTTTTGAATTTTTATTTGCAGACGATAAACTAAAATAGTCTTTATTTACTAGACAGACGAGGCAATATAAAAAGACGAAACAACATATTTAGAGTCAAAAAGTAATGAGAGTCAATGTAATCATACTTCCAGATGCAGACATCGTCCGTGCGACACGCATTCCCTTCTCGTTGAAGGCAGTTTGCAGGAAAGCCTCCACCACGTAGGTCGTCCGGCAAAGGTTAAAAGAATATTCTACTTTCGCCTCCGTGGTTGATGACTTTGTATCATTTCTGTCAGAATCAGTACAGCGTACAGTGACCTCAAAGTAGCGTAGCGAATCTCGCGGCTGTGTTCGCCACTGAACTCGCAAAGCGACGAAGAGTGTAGGATCGGGTATCACCTCCAAATCGCGGACATCGGGCCATGTTATATCTGGCTGCAGCAAAGTTGTTGCTAAACATAATTTTAAAAAATCACAATTAATCGGGGTAGGAACAAACGTAGGCAGCCAGAGACGAAAGTTCAAATTGCACTGCTGCTTTTTTACAAAGAAACCCTTACCAAGTGCCGAATGCACTGGCCACAGAAGCAGCAGCCCAAAGGCGTAAAGCAGTCGCAAATGTGATGAAGCCAAAATCATCACTGCCCTGAGGGCAGAACGTGGGGCTTTTTATATTGTTGCGGAAACTTGGGCGCGTCCAACTCGATGACTAAACTGTCAGCGCCTTAATTGCTGACTCGTGTGATTGAGCATGTACTTCTGTTGCTGCTGCTGTGTCATTTGGCACGACATTAATCTTTGCAGGGTTCCAAACTCCTGAATGGGGGGTGTAGGCAACCTTTTGGATCGAGGACTGCTCTGCGGAGACCTCGGAATTGCCAAGTGAAACGCCTAAATGCAGTCTAGTCGCAATGCAGTGGGAAAGTGACCAAAAATAAAAAAAATATCTCACATTTCGCCAATGTGTCAAGCACTAACCTGCATGATGAATTCTGAAAAAGGGAACGGGTGCGATCGATTTGATGCTTGCTTGAATGGGAACAAAACCTGAACAACGCAGTTACAATATGCAAATGAAATAAGCGATTAGCCCAGCTATACGGAATCGCATGGTCAGGATACAGTTGGAGAACCGCATTCATTAGGCTTTATGGCAAGGCTAGGTATAAATAGTCTAGAGTTGTTCTTAGGATATGGTCATATACGTGTTCGTACCAAGCCGCTTCACAACAAGGCATGCATTGGTTAGTTAAAGTTCTAGCTTTCGATTGTGGTGGGATTGTCTAAAAGTTACAATGACTAGTTTTATGCACCTATTAGCAAACCGCAGACTAGCTTTTTGTTTATATAACTTAGGAAGTTTCAACTAAAGAAAACGCCCTTTTGTTGAGAACCAGGCTTTTCTCCTTATATGACCAAGCCCTCCATTGTGAGAAAGATGATAACTTGACAAATATTTCAAATAATTACCTGTACAATGAAAAAGGGAAACGGTAGCGGCGATTTGATGTTTGGTTAAGTGAAGTAAGTTGCATTCCGAGACGATATGATGAAAAGAAAGGAGGTCTTCGAGAAACCGAGTTGTACTCGTGAATCTTCGAAAAGGTATCACTTTTTCGTCGTCAGACTAAATGAAATGTGCAGGCTGAGAATGTCGCACTAGAGGTTTTTGGGGAAGAGGCTACAACGATCTGGGATGGGGTTGGACGGTGGGTTACGGTGACATGAATTCTGCGGCGATAGGTTGTGCAGGTAAGGGAGGGAGAGGTGTTAACGTTTGACTTGTGGGCCACGTGTTTCGGGGGAGGGGGCAGGGTTGCAGAACCAGTGGAGTTCTACTTGAACGAGCGCGGAGGGCCCGCTGTTGTTTCAGGCTGCGCGCAGGTTAGTAGACCATGCGCGGAAATCGGCATAGTGTGAATCAAGGTCTACGTGTCTGTTAAAACTGGCCGAGCTCGAGTGATGTTTGCTTCAGTGGAAACAAAATTTTAACAATGCATTTATAATATGCAAATAAAGTGAGCCCAGCTATGCGAAATCAAATAGTCAGGAAGGAGTTTGAGAACCGTCCTTGCCCTTATGAGAATTGAAGCAACGAACCCGCAACAACCTTTCGATTGCAGAAGGATACACCAAAAGTTAGCAGGTTTAATTGCGTGCACCTATTAGCAGACTACCGTCGTATTTTTTGTTTAACTTATTTTACGAAGTGTATACTACTTAAAACGGCCTATACGGGGGACCGGAATGTTTTTCCTATATGGCCTAGTCCTTTCTTGTGACAAAGATTGATATATAACGACAATCTACAGATGACATGCAGGCCTGCGCCTATGGCCACAAATCGACGTACTGGCGCACTATAATGAGCCGCGTGGATGAGCAAGTTAATAGGAATGACCGCCGTAGAGCTGGTGACCTTCGCTAAACTTTACGCAGGATGCACGTTCGCGTGGCCTTACTTAAAAGGCAATCCCAATTTGAACGTCAGCTGTAGCCTCAATCATAACCCTAACACGACTCTTGCCCATAGCCTTGCATTAATCCTAATCTTATTAAGAGCCGTAGCCTTAATTCCAAACTTCATGTTCGCCAATATCAGGCGAAATTTTACCCATATGATATGTGTTTATCATTTCCCTGTTTTGCCAGGGACATTATGAATAATTCTTGTTGAATAAGTATTTATTCATTCACTCCGTTGTTATTGAAAACGCAATTCAGAATTTTCGGTAAATTTTTGAAAATGTATAACTGGAATGGATCGGAGAAAGTGAAGGGAGATCGAAATGGCCATTTCTGGCTTGTTTGCCGTTATCAGCCAGACATACCCAATCTTAAGGTTTGAAACTCCCGAGATTCGAACCACGGCACCACGGGCTCGCTGATTTGTAGGCTGAGATCGGGAATGTGGTGAATATATGTGCTTCGCGGACCCGGTAGAGGAACCGCGAAGTTCCCTTTATCCAGGACCTCACAATAAGAGTCCGCACAGGCAGTCACAAAGTGATAATGATGATATGATGGAATGGATCCGGCAAAGCAAAGGGAAACCGGAATATCCATTTCTGGTATGTTAGCCATCAGCAACCGGTCGTACACAATCTGAAGGGTTGGAATTCCTTTAATTTCATCATATCATCACAGTCATTTTGTGACTGTCTGCGCGTGCTCTAATTGTGAGCTCCTGGCCAAAGTGGAACTTAATTGTTCCTCTACTAGATCGGCGAAGCATATTTATTCAATGTATAACTTATCCTAAATATGATTGCATTTGCAGACTTTTGTTAGCTATCTCCATATGCAACATAAATGTTAAGCGAAGTATGCCATTAGCTGAAGCCTTTTCTACATGAAATACGCTTCATATAAATGCTAGTCACGTCTTAATACGCCCATCTTTACTTTGGGAAGCCATGGTATACTTGATCTCCAAAAGGAAAATGTGGCTGAGAGTACTAAATAAGCTAACCTGTTTTGAAGTAGGCCGCTTTTCGCAGCCACGTGGAGGTAACCAAATGTCGTAACTGCGAGTTTTTTCTTATACGGAGGAACTTGCTTCTTGTCGTTTTCAAATGATGTTCATGAAATGACATTTTATTGATAGGAGACTTGCGACCATCAACCCCCCTCTCGTTTGCATTCCCCCACCTCGGTCCACGGTCAAAACAGAGTTAGCCAGAGGCCACAAATAGCCAATCACAGCAAAGTTAGGGGGACTTGGACCCCTTGGAGTATCTGAAAGATCAGAGCGCGAAGGAGCCATCGCAGCCTGAATCTTAGTCCGCCTCTCAGCCAACTCACACAAACACACAGTGGGCCGCCGGGGCAGTCCGAGTTACGCTTCAGTTAGCAATCTCAGAAGCTACGTTTTTTAGTACACCGTGATAGATTCAAGCATGTCAAATTGTTTAGAGCGATGGAAGTGCACTGTGTCGTCAAGCTCACACTCTCCGGCATCAGGTCGCCGTCCGAGCCGGTCTTTTGTGTAATGTGGGGTAGGCCATAAACATAATGATCTTATGTTTCACACACCTTCTGGAAAGCCTTGATGGTATTTGTTACGAATTTCAGCCAAAAAATGAGAGAACCAAACCAGGAGAATCCCCTGAAGCGGTCCTTCAAATATAAGACTGCGTACTTACTCACTCTTATGTGAAAATGATTACTTTACAGTTTCTTCGAGAACAACTGACCATTTTACCGGCCATTTTAATGCCGAAATAGCCTTAGATGCAACTTAAAAAGAGCTACTGTTGTCTGTGGAAGTCAATTCTAGAGCCAAGTCTTTTGAAATATGACGCAACTTTCAACTTCGACATTGGCCTGAGGCCGCTCAGGACTTCTCTTCATGCACATGATAATCGAAAGACTGCCTTAGGGTGGCTTAGACGATTTGGTTCTCTGGTGGCTGGCTAGTTGCCCTTGTCGGATCAGGAGTCCCACCGGCTTGGCCTCAATACCGGCGGCGAGGAGGAGGAGAAGTCGGAGCAGCATGGTCAGGAGAGGCTGCTCCGTCATAAAAAACACAGATGGAGAGCAGGGGAGATAGATCTATAGTAGGGAGATTGGTGTAGCAGATATTGGCCGCCCTGAGGGCGGGTGGGAACGCGACAAAAACGCGTCTGTTGTGGTTCCCTGGTTCTCTGGTCATCTGTGATGCTAGAAGGAATAAATAGACCGCGTTTAAAGCGAATGAGATACCCGATGAAGTACTGAATGCGCTTGCAGTCAGGCAAGACTTCATACTGATAACTAATTTTGTAAGGTTTCAATTATTTTAAATACGTCTTTGTGGACTAGACTGTAAGTGTTCCGGACACCGTGCGTCCAACTTAGGCTTTCTACAAAATTGCTGCCATTTTGTTGATTATTGCCATCGGTAACCAGAGACTAGAAGTATGGTGAAATTATGCAAACGCCCTGTTAATCTGTATGACAAATAATACTATATCTCCAATTCTGCTACAATTAACCTCTCAAAATAATAAATGCGAGGAATGAAATTAGGCCTTTGAAAATCTCACCAGTGTCATCGATTTAAAATACCGGATTTTTAAATGAGAATTTAATTGTTGGTAATGCTAATTCTTGTATGTTTTTCGACTGTCTTGAGTATCAGTCTCGTTCACAGTCAAGTAATTGACCTGGCTCATTGCAACACGCAATTCTAATCATGCGTTTGCAATTGGCCGATTACATTAACGTTAACAATGACACAGATTGTGAACATGGACAATGATAACGGCAGACTAAATGCGGCCAATTACTTTTTCATATATTCTGTTGGCGTATGTTTTAACATTATGGTCTGCATCTTAAAACTTGGTTACAAATCACTGGTTTGTCCTCATTTCAACGTCTGCTTAAATCATCTCATATACAACCTTTATTTCATTGTGCAATATTGAACTCAATAAACCGCCTGCATGAGTAGGTAAATCTTTAGTCTCTCGAGCCTCTGAATGTTCAGTTGGCGGCGAGCTGTGGACTCTCCAATTTTGGAAAGCCGACTGAGCATTTGTTGAGGATAATCTGCCAAAACGTTATTTCCCTTGCGAATCGAATTGAACCTTGTTTTCAATGATAGTTTCTGTGCAATCTGAATCAAAGGGTTTTGGGTGTAACACGAATCAGTC